CCCAGAGAATGGTGGGAATGGAGATTTTGTAATATCCTTCCCCCAGGAGTGGGGAGGGGAATGGGGATTTTGCAATATCCTTCCCCTGGAGTGGGGGGGCGAACGGAGATTTTGCAGTATCCTTCCCCTACCATGCCCACCAAGCCACGCCCACAGAACCGGTAGTTTAAAAATTTGAATTCCACCACTGGTAGAGACCTCCTTTGTCGATATGTAGCTAAGGGCCATCATGGGGTTTATTTGATTTTGTTTATTTTGTTTATTTTGTTTGTCAAACATGTACAAGACAGCGGGTATAGGTATAAACATAAACAAAGGAAGTAAGTTCAGGTAAATGGGGACAGAAAGACAAGGACGATAGGCACGCTGGTGAGCTTATGCACGCCCCCTTTACGGACCTCTTAGGAATGGGGTGAGGTCCATGGTAGACAGTTTAAGGTTGAAGCTGTGGGGGTTTGAAGCTGTAACAATGGAGTCAGGTAGAGCATTCCAGGCGTTGACCACTCTGTTGCTGAAGTCGTATTTTCTGCAATCGAGTTTGGAGCGGTTTACCTTGAGTTTGTATCGATTGTTTGCCCGTGTATTATTGTGGTTGAAGCTGAAGAAGTAGTTGATAGGTAAGACGTTGTAGCAGACAATTTTGTGTACTATGCTTAGATCGGACCGCAGGCGGCACAGTTCCAGATTGTCCAAGCCCAGAATTTCAAGTCTGGGTTATCCATGTAATCTTTTCAATGCTCCTTTTCCATCTATGTAATCCCCAAACTGGAACACTTATTAGAACTTCTTTAAAGTTATTTGAAAGAGAAAGCTAGCCAAGGAAAGTGTTGGTTTGTTAGATAATGTAGGAAAAGAATCTTGAATGAAGAGAAGGAGACCTGGAAAAAATGGCATGAATTCTGGTCATCTGTCTTTATTACAGAAATTACAAGACAGATGAGCCTGCTCTGACTTTTCAGGGAAGAAATCTGAACTAAAGCAAATTGACTGAGGTAACAAAAGAAGATGTAGGACATCTTGAAAGTTGGTAACAAATCACGGAGTCCCAAAGACATCCGCAGAGGGTTATTAAAACACAGAAATGTGAAATGCGATCTTCAGGTCAATCTTTTTAACCTGTCCTCACCCCACCCCCTTAAAGATAGCCAATGAGACATCAATATTTTAAAAAGAGAGATCAGGGAAATTATAGGCCACTCAGCATAATGTCTGTTCCAGGGGAATTGGCAGAAAACATTTGTTTTAAAGGCATATAAAGGAACAGGTTTCACTGAAGGAAAATCAGTGTGAATTCCGCAAAGGCAAATCCTGCCTCCCCAATCTTGTAGACTTCTGAGGAATGTCAAAAATGTGTAGATGGAGGTGCCCCTATCCACACGAAAAAAGTAGATTTTCAAAAGTATTTGACCACATTCCTCGTCAGATGTTACTGAGTAAAATTGGCAGCCACAGGATAAGAAGACCTGTGGTTTTAGGGATTGCCAACTTTGTTTTAATTGGTTCAAAACCAAAAAAAATAGGAATAAATGAGAAATTTTCTTAATGGAAAAATATAACAAATATAGTTTTTCAAGAATCTGCTTTGATTCTAATGCTTCCTAACTTGTTTATAATTGACGTTTGTGACATAGGGGAATGCAGTAAACTGGCCATGTTTGCAAATAACACTAAACATCTGGTTGCTTAATCACGTTCTGAATTTTTACCTATCTGTGAGAAATATAGAGAGCTGACCGTTATACTTTAGTTATTAGTATTTATTTATTTTATTTGTTGAGTATGTATTAGATAATATATATAAGTATAAGCATGAATTGAATACATAAAATGAATACAATTAAAGGGAACATTAGGACAGGGACAGTAGACACGCTGGTGCTCTTATGCATGCCCCTTACAGACCTCTTAGGAATGGGGTGAGGTCAACAGTAGACAGTCTAAGGTTAAAATTTTGGGGATTTTGGGATGAAACCACAGAGTCTGGTAGTGCATTCCAGGCATTGACCACTCTGTTGCTGAAGTCGTATTTTCTGCAATCAAGTTTGGAGCAGTTCACTTTAAGTTTGTATCTATTGTGTGCTCGTGTATTGTTGTGGTTGAAGCTGAAGTAGTCATTGACATAGAGAGAGGACTGTGAACATCTCAATGCCTTGTTCTGAGGAACACTTCACAATGATGTTAGGGTTAGAGTTAGAATTAGGTTGGCTTGTTGATCTGCTATAGACCGAAAGTGGTGTTAATCTCACTGGGAAAGATGGATGGATGAGATCTTCCTTTTACTTTAATTGCTCTGTCTTCAGATGAGATAAATCAAATAATAAATACAGACTTTCTTAACTATAGTGGTGAGAATGTCCACCTAGTCCATATTTTGAGCCGAGGTGGTGCAGTGGTTAGAATGCAGTACTGCAGTCTATTTCAGCTGACTGCTAGCTTCAGTCCGGCAGTTCAAATCTCACCGGCTCAAGGTTGACTCAGTCTTCCATCCATCCGAGGTTGGTAAAATGAGGACCCAGATCGTTGAGGGGCAATATGCTGAGTCTGTAAACCACTTAGAGAGGGCTGTAAAAGCCCTGTGAAGCGGTATATAAGTCTAAGTGCTATTGCTATATTTTGACATAGTTTAGGCCACGGGTGTCAAACTTGCCCCATCATGTTGTCGTCACATGATGTATCTAGTTTTCTCCCTTCACAGAGATGGGGTGGGCGTGGCCTGCACGTGACGCATCCGGCCTGTGGGCCGCCAGTTGGACTCCCCTAGTTTAAACAAACAATTAAGATTGTTTTGAGTTTGACTGATGTTAAAAAAAAAGCTAAACAGGATTGTAAATGGTTAGTATTTGATTAGAAATCCAACTAGGTCGTCTCAGCACAGTACACTAGGCTGAAAAGTTGGGAGGGGGGGGAAATTCCAGGTGGTGGCCGTGTCAAACCATTTGTGTATTGTTGCCAAGAAAACTATGGTTATGTCCATGTAGTTGTCAAGGGTTGGATTCAGAGGAGATGTCTGTGGAAATTCTCAATCATCCAGGTCATGGTTGCCTTAAAGGCAGTAGTGGGTTGCCCCCGGTTCGCACCGGTTCTATAGAACCGGTAGTAAAACTGGTGGGAGGCTCTGCCCACCGATCTCGATGTCATCAAAACGCTTCTGCACATGCGTGAGCGAAGCAAGCGAGCACGGCCCTGTTGTGAACCGGTAGTAAAGGTAAGTAGAACCCACCCCTGCTTAAAGGTGCTTTTTTCAAAAGGCAACTGGACTTCCTTAGTGTTTTATTTGAAGTGAAAGCCTCCAAAGAAAAACACCAAGAAAGACCTGTTGCCTTTTAGGATTAAAAAAAAGCACCTCTGAGACTCAGAAGAAACTTTATCTTACCTTCTCCAACTGCTCTTTGGGTCTTTGTGAAAAGGTTTTTTAAGCCCTGGGCTGCACCGTTTTATTGGTGATTTGCTCCCAGATTATATTGCTTTGTTTTACATTCTCATAAGCTGCCCTAATTAGCTTTTTGACAGAAGAATTGAGCAATAATGCTTACCCACACATAAAATAAATAATGAGTGACCGGAATTCAGAAAGAGCAATGGGCAGGAACTAAATTATAACTTCCTGGGTGAGCGGATAGTTTAATCTGAAGCTCTGGTCTTGGCAGTTTCTTAGAATTTGATGGGGATGTGGAAATTCCTAGCCACAGTTTACATCAGGTTAAATACATCCTCCAGTCCTTGGTTTTTGTTTCTTGGCCACAATGGTGTGTAAAAAAGATAGAAGCCAATCATTCTGATTTCACACAGAGGGAGCCATATGTCCCTACAATTTCTGATTCTTTTTTTTTCCAACCTTCATTATGCAAATAAATAGAACCAAAGAGAAGACAGTGCCTTTTACCTAGTAGGAAGATAGAAAGCTTAAATACTCTATATGAAAACAACACTTGAAGAAGACGTTGTATATCAGAGATGCATTGGCTCCATTAACCTTCTCTTTTTTTTTTACCTCTGTAAATAAGAGATGGGTCACCCTTTGCAATTTGTGCAAAGGTTTTTTCCCCCCATTTCCTTACTGTGGCGGGTTGCCCAAATTTTCATGTGCCTAATTTACTTCGAATGAGTATAAATGATTTATTGACCGACCAACCAATCGACCGATTGATTGAGTGGGGTTTTTTTTTTTCAGCTTGAGCTTTTCAAAGCAGAATTTAATATAACAAAATGTGTGATCAACAAACCTGCATGTAGAAGAAAATATGTCCTGAGGTAAAATAAGAAAAATATCTACCTTAGGTCCAACTCTGTTATTCTATTCTGTTCTGTTCTGTTCTGTTCTGTTCTGTTCTATGATCAGATGACCTGTCCTATTCTATTCTATTCTGTTCTGTTCTATTCTATTCTATTCTATTCTATTCTATTCTATTCTATTCTATTCTATTCTATTCTATTCTATTCTATTCTATTCTATTCTATTGAATCTGCTGGATTTCACCCCTGGTGCAGATGTAGTTGGTGTTCCGTTATCATACTACTAGCTACTATGACAGTATAGTTCCTCATAGTTCCCAGGACAATTCATTCGACTGCCAGCAGTTCGATCCTGACCATCTCAAGGTGATCGAATCTCACCAGGCTCAAGGTCAACTCAGCCTTCCACCCGTCCAAGGTTAGGAAAATGAGGACCCAGATTGTTGGGGGCAATAGGCTGACTCCGTAAACCGCTTAGAGACGGCTGTAAAGCACTGTGAAGCAGAATATAAGTTTAAATGCTATTGTTATTTCTTTGAGCTTCAAGATTTTCAGTTCACATGCAACGATAGGCACTTTTTTTTTTTTCAAACTATGCTTTGGTCAAGTTCCTCCAGTAGACACCACAGCGTATAACAGAAGGATCTTGGTTTTCATCACCTTCCAAGAAGATAGGAAAGGTGATGCTCCCTTTTCCATTTTTGCTTGTGTGCACCTTTGCATCTCTTTTGACTCATCCCATCTTTCCTTTTTTTTTTCTTTTCCAGAATCAACATACCGTCTTGAGTCAAAGTGGAGGCACCAACCCAGGACCTGCCTCGTGCACAAATGCAAACACTGGAACCAACTACATCAACTCATCGCCACAAGCATTGCTGAATCAGCAGCTGAAACAACAGTTCCTCCTTCAGCAGCAGCAGCAGCAGCACCAAATACTAACCGAAGCAGTAAATATCCCAGTTTTCTATTTTAGCTCTATATACCTGTGTTTCCCCGAAAATAAGACCCAGTCTTATTTTCTTTTGGGCCCCCAAAATAAGCACCAGGTCTTATTTTCAGGGGATGTCTTACCCACTTTCCTTAGGACCACTGCAGCCAGGCCTCCTACTCCCCGACACTTGTTGCACCACAGCCCCATTTCTTCTGTGGCCGCTCACGGCCAGGCATCACATGGTGCATTGCGCTGGTGCCGCCGCTTATAGCAGGACGCTGTGTAGCTAGTCGTGCTGCTGCCGCTGCTTACAGCAGGAGGCTGCGTGGCTTGTTGCGCCAGTGCCGTTGGTCACAACAGGAGTCTATTTGGCGTGTTGTGGCATTGCGCACGAAAGCGGCAGCGCTGGGGTGACGTGCCATGCCGCCTCCTGCCACAAGTGGCAGCACCGGTGTGACACGGCACATGGCATCCTGCTGCAAGCGGCAGCATTGGTGTGATGCACCACGTGGCATCCGGCCGCAAGCAGCCGGAGTTCTGACAGTTGCACGTATCCCCTCATTAAACACATTTTGGGCACTTGGCAACTGCCTCACTTTTGCGACTGGTTGTTGCCTTCCACGGTCACATGACTGAGATTTATGACATTGTAGCACAGTGGTTAGAATACATTATTGCAGGCTAATTCACTGCTCACTGCCAGGAGTTCGATTCTGACGGCTCAAGGTTGACTCAGCCTCCCATCCTATCAAGGTCGGTAAAATGAGGACCCAGATTGCTTGGGGCAAGATGCTGACTCTGTAAACCGCTTAGAGAGGGCTATAAAGCACCGTGAAGCGGTATATAGATCTAAGTGCTAGTGCTATTTTTTTTCAGGTTTCCGGAAAAAACACTCATAGTAATAAATTGCTTTGCTTAAAGATCACTGCAAAAAAGTCATAAAATCAGGTCTGGACAAATGGGTGCCTTGACTTATGACCATCGTGGCTTATGATAGAAATTCCTGGCTGCATTACAATCATACGTTGAGGACTACCTATAATAATATTAGAGTAGGATTTCAGTGCAGAAGTCAACAATGATATGATTGCAGGCAAGGGTGGGAAATTTGTATTTTCATCCCCGAGGACAGCAGATTACAGAGCTCTGTAACCTGCTGTCCTTTTGGATGAAAATACAAATTTCCCACCCTTGCCTGCAATCATATCATTATTAATACGGAGTTGAAACAGTGCAGCAAGTACCATTTCCTTTTTAGCATAGGCAGCTGACAAAAAAAGATCACACACACACACACACACACACACACACACACACACACACACACACTTCAGGCAAAATTTGGTGTGCTTTCCAGAACTGCCCAATTGGACTGGAAATGCTTTTCTTCTGCAGGAAGAGTGAGGCATGAGAAAGACATTATTATTCCATCCAGATCATTTAAGTCACCTGCATTAATTTATAGCCTTTTCTTAGAACTACCAGATATATCGTCCCAAAGGTGCTTTTTTTCAAGAGGAAACTGGACTTTCTGGTTTTTCTTTGAAGATGTTTCGCTTCTCGTCCAAGGAGCTTCTTCAGCTCTGACTGGATGGTGGGGAATGGAAAGATTTATACTCCTTGTAGGCAGCTGGTCAGAATGCAATAAAGAATGCAAATGTGTTCAGCTAGTGTATGTATATGTTGTCAGATGATTCTGTTCAAACCTTCAGAATAATAAATAAATAGCAATGCTTTTCTCTTTTTCTCCCTCCTGTAGGAGAAAGCAACCCCTCAAGATCAACTGAATAGACACCTTACAAGACCACCACCAGATTATAAGGACCAAAGAAGGGGACAAGTCAACGTGCAGCAAACACACCAATATTCTGGTAAGCATGCACATAAAAGCAAACAAGCCACCTTCAGACAAAGATTTGACTCATTTTGAGTGTGGGACAGGTGGCTCTTTCCTCCTGAGCATCGCTTTAGGGCTTTCTTCTATCCAAGTTTTATGTGAGAGTTTCTTCTGTTTTCTTCCTGTTTTCTCATCTCCCTGGTCTCTCAAACTTCCTTCCTCCTAAACTTTCCTTTGCTTTCATCCATTGGAAACACAAACGTCCCCTTTGTCCCTTACATCTTTCCCGAGGCCTTTTCCCTACCCCAAACAAACCAGCATTCAGTTTCCTTCACAGAAGCTACATTGATTTTCGGGAACCCTCCACTGACCTTTCCCCTCCACTGCTGCGGTATCCGTGAACATTGTACAGCATTGGTGCGGTTGCACCAACAGCTTAAAAGTCGATTCACGATTTAGAGCCCACCACATCTACTATCAGTTTAATCAGAGGATGTCTAAAGATAGTAATTCTGTTGGAATTTGCCTGGTGGCTGGATAAATCGAGGGCTTTCCAAAAAAAAAAAAAAAATGAAGAGCAGTTCTAACATGTGATGAGTCGTCTGATGATTCAAACATTCTTCAGGGATCCTCAACTTTCAAACATTTAAAATATACTTGGTGAAGATCTAAACTGAGTCTCATGTTTCTTAGGTTTCTGAATAAGTTTAAAAAAGGCTGATTTGGCTAACAGAGCCTGACTGTCTCATATTCTACTTTCAGGCACTGCATTTAAGGCATAAACCTTGATGCAAGCATAAATGAATCAGAAGAATGTTCATAAACTCGAATTCATTAGAGAGTATTTTCCCCAAAAATAAGATCCAGTCTTATTTTCTTTTGGGCCCCCAAAATAAGCACCAGATCTTATTTTCAGGAGATGTCTTAGCCGCTGGTGCTGTCACTCATGGAAGGAGGCTGCGTGGCTTGTTGCGCCAGTGCCGTTGCTCACGACAGGAGGCCATGTGGCATGTTGTGGCAGTGCGCGCGAAAGCGGCAGCACCAGCATGACATGCTTCCTGCCATGAGTGGCGGCACCGGTGTGACATGGCACATGGCGTCCTGCCACAAGAGGCAACACTGGCGCGATGCACCTCGTGGCATCCGGCCGCGAAATAAGGACATGTGAAATAGATAGAAAGACTTTGCTGTTCCCATTTTACTTACTCACAATTGTGTGAGGATCTTGTCTTTAAGTCATCGTTCCAAAGATACGAACTTTTCCTCGCTTCCTAGGTTGGCATTAAATCCCAAGGTTAAATCCCAAGGGGAGGGGTCCTCCCATGGTCTTTTTAGTACGAATCACCAGGGAGATGTTTGGAAATGCCTTCAAGGAAAGATATTTGGAGACATCTAACAGAATAAAAGACATTGACGGGATCTTAGACGTCTTCTAGTCCAACCTCCTCTTCAAGCAGGAAATCTTATACCATTTCAGACAAATGGTTGTCCAATCTCTTTTTAAAAACCTCCACTCACAACTTCTGGAGGCAAGTCATTCCACTGATTAATAGTTCTAACTGTCAGGAAGTTTTTCCTTAGCTCTATCTAGGTTGTTTCTCTCCTTGATTAGTTTCCATCCATTGCTTCTTGTCCTGCCTTCAGGTGTTTTGGAGAATAGTTTGACTCTCTCCTGTTTGTGGCAGCCCCTGATATATTGGAACACTGCTATCATGTCACCCTTAGTCCTTATTTTCATGGACATACCTAATTCCTGCCACTGTTCTTGGTATCTTTTACTCTCCAGTCCCCTAATCAGCTTTGTTGCTCTTCTCTGTACTCTTTCTAGAGTCTCAACTTCTTTTTTTATATATATTATGGAGACCAAAACTGGGTGCAATATTCTAAATCTCTCTAACCTTTCTGTCTGTACATTTGATGGAGAATTCTCATACATTTATTTATTTATTTATTTATTTTATTAGGCTTATATGCCGCCCTATCTCCAACGGACTCAGAGCAGCTCACAACAATAAAAACCACAATAATCCATTATACAAAAGTTAAAATGCCTAATTAAATCAGATAAAGCTAAAAAACCCGTATAAAACCCCATCAGTACAGGCCGGGGAACTCGAATACCACCTTTAGAGCGCTCCATGGCTTAGGGCCTGGTTATTTACGGGACCGCCTGCTGCCGCAAATGGCTTCCCACCTGCCGGTACGCTCTCACAGAGAGGGACTCCTCTGGGTGCCGTCGGCCAAACAATGTCGGTTGGCGGTCCCCAGGAGGAGAGCCTTCTCTGTGGGGGCACCTACTATCTGGAACGAGCTCCCCCCGGAGATAAGGAGGATCCCGGATCTACGCACCTTCCGCCGCGCTCTCAAGACCTTTTTATTTCACCAGGCTGGTTTGGCCTAACCTCTCCCATTCTCTTTTTAAAGTAAATTTTAATGTAAATTTTAATTTGTTCTTAACCTGGGATTTTAAATTAGTCTTGGGCTAAATTGATTTAATTCGATTTTACTTCTGCTCTTAAATTTTTGTATTCTATGTGTTTTATCTTGTGCCTGTTCACCGCCCTGAGTCCTTCGGGAGTAGGGCGGTATATAAATCAAATAAAATGAAAAATGAAAATGAAATGAAATGAATAACATTTGAAAGACTGTCCAGCATTTTTCTAAAAGGTGCTGTGCACTGTGGCATTTACCTTATGGCTCATTAAATACGTTTGTCCTCTGATCTGGAGGTAGTTTCAGTGATCCTCCTACTGCTACTCTTCATGAAACAGAATTAAAGATTACCCAGCTGGTCTCAAAATTGACTTTCAGAGAGCAGACACTTCTCTCTCTTCATGATGGACTGTCAGTCCTGGTCATTAATCAGAAATTGACACATTCTGCAGTACCACTCAGGTTTTGTTTTGTTTTTTTGATATCTGAGGTCTGGTTATGTTCTCCACTGAAGACTAATTGGAATGAAATTTCTGTCCATCTGGTATAAATTAGACCAGAAAAGGGTGATGGGGGGGGAGAATGAAGAAGCTAAAAATAGCGAGTAATTCAGAGAAAAAAGGAAACTTTGTCTTGGGAATAAGAGAGAGAACCATTGTCCCCAACCACTGCACCCTCTGAAGCAATTTCGGCTGTTACAAAAGAATATAGTATGTTGGCCATCTGTGTCTGAATCAACATGTTCCATCTTGGCTAATCTAGAAAATGCCTTAGTTGCCTGAATCTTTTTGTTGCAACAGATAAATGTTATGTGTCCTGAACATCTGCTTCGTTTCAATGATCTTTGGTGTACAAATTCACCACCGGTTGCACGACTTAATTGCTAATGGCACTAGCATTTAGACTTACATATCGCTTCACAGTGCTTTACAGCCCTCTCTAAGCGGTTTACAGAGTCTACCTATTGCCCCCAACAATCTGGGTCCTCATTTTTACTGACCTCGGAAGGATGGAAGGCTGACTCGACCTTGAGCCTGGTGAGATTCGATCTGCCAAACTGCTGGCAGCCGGTGATCAGCAGAAGTACCCTGGAGTAGTGCACTTTAACCACAGTGCCACCGCAGCTCTCTCTAATAACGTGTAATCCAGGCAGGTCTCTGATAAGAAACTCGAAGGTTTCTTTCACATTGTCCCAAAGGTGCTTTTTCAGGAGGCAACTGGACTTTCTTGTTTTTTTTTTCTTCGAAGATGTTTCACTTCTTGTCCAAGAAGCTTATTCAGCTCTGACTGGATGGTGGGGAATGGAAGTAACTGGTCCTATTGGGTACTTTGGTTTCTGAGTCTTGTTTATGCCTGGTGATGGATTATGTCTTTGTTCTTCTCCTAGGTGGATCGCCGGCTGTGAGCATCAACTCCAACCTATGTTTCTCCAATCCCATTTCCACTCCTAACATTTTGCCACAGCAATCAAATCTCTTGTCCACGACTCACGGCACCAGAATGCCTTCTCTTCCAGCAGGCCACCATGTCAGCTGCTACGGAAACATTCCCTGCAGTCAACCCAATGCGTATAATGTGGCACCATCCGGAGTAAGCCAAGTTGCACAGCATAGAAATCTAAACCCAATTGTAACCGCTCAAAACAACCCCGCAGCGTCTCGGCCAGCACCAGCTGGGCAAGGCAATAACATGCCGACCTTTGACAATGGCTTGGGAGTTAACTCCCAGCAAGGGAAGCTCAGCTTGAACCAGGGAACTTCAGCACAAAGGCCTTCAAACGTGATGGTCAGTTCAAACGCTGCAGCTCAGAACTGGGTTTCTTCAGAAGCAGGATCGAAGCAACAGGAAACGCAGAGGGCTTCAGGATCCACATTCTCACCTGGAAGCTCCTATCCAAATCAGCCACTACAGCGCACAAGTGCCCTTCAGCAGTTCCCTCAGCGGGCCATGGTGCCCCCTAACCAACTGAGCGCCCTCCAGATGAGAAACCCTACGAGCCAAATGAACCAAAGCCTAAATGGACAAGTGGGGGGGCCACCCAAACCCCAGAGTGCAATGCCTACTCAGTTGCAGGCAGAGGTTGTGGCCCACTTAAATCCACCCAGGGTGGGGATGACACAACCCCACCCCTTGTCATCGAACCAGTTCTCATCGAGTGCTACCCAAATGTCCACCAGGGCTTTTCAAGGAACAGATCCCTCCAATGATCTGGCGTTTGATTTTCTGAACCAGCAAGCGGATAACATTGGGCCCGCCCTCAATAGCGACCCAGACTTCATTGATTCTTTGTTGAAAACGGAACCTAGTAATGATGATTGGATGAAAGACATCAACCTTGATGAGATATTGGGAGGCCATTCCTGAGGCCGCTAACAGTGATGAACTCCCAGTGTTTTTTTAAGAGTGAAAAGTCAGGATACCAGTCCTCGGTTTGTAAAAGACAAAAGGTTAGGGGAGGAGGGGAGGGGAGCAAAACAGTGGGTTGCTGGATCCAACCTTAAAAATATATTAATGCAACCATGCTTAAACATAGCTTGTCCCATTATCAAGTATGCTAAAGAGGGTGAAGTCTGGATCTGCAGCTTCCATACACGGTGATTCTGAATGATGAAGGAACTTGGAGAAATGGTTGCTCATCATCTAAACAAATCCTAAATATGTAAGCTAATATTTGCATCTATTACACAAAGGAGAGACCAAGGAATATGCACTGCATTGAAATTATACTGCTGACATCCACTAATGATTCTCATGTGTATTCGTGTGTGTGTGTACAAATAGAAATCTGGCTGGGAAAAATAAGCAGAAAACAAAAAACAACAACACCCAACTCAGAAAGCTTAGCAAAAGTCTTCCCTAACATTGCACATTCTAATAGGTTTTATTAGAATCCCTATCGCTTTCATTCAGTGGCAATGAAACATTGCATTGTGAGAACTGTCATTCAGAACATCTGAAGCACATCAGATTTAGGGATGCAGGTTAACACTTCATAGAGGGAATCCGTGTGCCATGAAAGATAAGTTTATTGATAGAACCCATATATATGCATATCAAACATCCCAGGGTCCATAAGCTATTTAGTGTGGGATGAAAAAGAGCGATCCCACAATTCAGAAGATCCATGGCGCACATGGCAGCTTCCTAAATCTCTAGAGTTCTTAATATGTCTTAAAACAGCAATTTTCTGTCCACTTTCCTGGAAATAAATCTACATCATAATTCAGATAGTTTGCCCCATAAGTGGCTTCCTACCCACTTTCTAATACCCCTCCTTATGGGAGAATCTGCAGAGTATGGAGTACCAAACTCAAGAGAATTAGAAACTTTCTATTCAAGATCTGTCTTGAAGTTTCAAATAGAAATAACCAGCTTGGCCAGCCTGTTACAATTTCATAAGTTTCCTTCTCCTCTCTATGGCTTTCACATCTCGTAGTGGGTTTTTTTTTTTTTCTCTTCCCTTCTCTTTATCCTTTTAATTAGAAATTGGAGACAGGATTGAATTTTAGATGCTAATGGAATCCCCTGTGTCCCAGAATGCAGATTATTATCAAGATGATCCAGTTTTATCTTACACGTCAGTAACATATTATGAATAAGAATGAGGATCCGTGAGGCAGGGATCCCTGCAAACCTCATGCATATAGGCTCAAAGGATATCGAATGGTAGTTCCGTCAAACATGGTTTAATTATTTGAGCGCACATTGCAACCAGCCAGTCAGCATTCTTAAGATAGCAATTTAAACAGTTCATTGTTCAAATTCAAGGTTTGTTTGTTTTTTTAAAATATATATTCCTGTTCGTTCATAAACAGCACAATATTAAGTGAGGTTTAAGTTCTTCCCTTGGATTTTCATGACAGTGGCAAGCAGAGATAATACATTCTGGAGTGGAAGGAGGTGCTTTACTTGTCATTGACAATGAGCTGTGGTGGCGCAGTGGTTACAGTGCAGTACTGCAGGCTACTTCTGCTGACTGCCGCCTGCCTGCAATTTGGCATTTCGAATCTCACCAGGTTCAAGGTTGACTAATCCTTCCGAGGTGGGTAAAATGAGGATCCAAATTGTTGGGGGTAATATGCTAACTCTGTAAACCACTTAGAGAGGGCTGTAAAAGCACTGTAAAGCAGTATATAAGTCTAAGTGTTATTGCTATTGCTATCTTGGATTCTCTACATTGCCCTGTACATAATTCACTCAGGACACTGTTAGGAACCTACAGGCGTCCCGATCTTATACTCTCCGGGTAGATCGAGTCTTCTACAACACTTTCTACCCAACATATTTGCAACGACAATTTTGCAAATTTCAGTCCTAATATATCTGAAGCATACCATTGTGGGAAAACTGAAATAATGAGCAGCTTGCAGTTCTGATGAAGTGAGAAACGAAGGTTGGTCACCTAAGGATTTCAGATGCTGTTCCTGGCCATTGGATCTATAAAATCTTACAATTCCCGATTACCTGCAGTTCCATAAACCAAAGCTGTAAAAGAGACCTATCGTTGTGCAACCTCTGTTTATTTTAAAATTCCAGGCCTTTGAACACTTAACCCTAGGTTGCACCTTTGTGACCCAACGCTGAAAAAAAGCTGGGAATATTTTGATTTTAAAACAAGAAGAAGGAAAAAAAAACAAAAACGCCTGCATCTTGTTATCACCATGTATCTTCTTTTTACCGTTACAGTTAAATGCACTACGCTTTTATCTTTTGCATTATTGGATCAGGAGTTCTTTTCAGTATTGGGCTTGTAAATATAGAGAAAAGTTTTTGTAAACTTTTGTACAAAAATGTAATATTTTGGTAGGAATACTAAAATCATATTCTTTGGGTTATATTTATACACATGTGGAATAAAAATGTAATGTCCGAACTTTGTATTTTATACTGCAAAGGAGATAAAAAGAAATTCGTATTTGAATATACAATGTATGGGGCAAGGGGAAATGTATGATACGATTAATTTTTTCCATCCTGAGATTTATGCAGCAGCTTATATAAGAGGAAACCGGAAGAGAAGTTTGAATAAAATTATTGAGGATCCTAAATTGATGGCTTTGTCCTAAAATCTGAAACTTGGTTTCATATAATTAGTTGTCGTTGTTAGTTGCGAAGTCATGTCCATCACAACCCCATGGACAACTTTTCTCCAGGGCTGCCTGTCTTCTACCATCCCCGGAGACCATTTAAGCTCAATATAATTAGTTACATCATGTTAACTAAGGATATTGGCTGCTGAATTCCATCTCCAGGTTGAAGGCAGCTTTTTAGAAGAAGCATCAGCTCTCTTAAATCTAAAAAAGTCATCGTTCCAAATGTGCTTTTCACCTTATCTTACAAACTGAGCCCGGTTTGGGGAATAGATTTTAAGGATGGGTACAATTTACGATTTAGGAAAGGGCAACAAGCATGAGAGATCAAGAAACTTAAATTTTATAAAAACAAATTGCAAAAACTAGGAACATTGTAGAAGGTGGGGAGAGGCTACTATACAGGTAATGTCAGGTACAAAGAATCAGGATCATACAGATTAACAGAGTTGGAAGGGACCTTGTAGGTCATCTAGTCCAACCCCCCACCCAAGCAGGAGATCCTACACCATTTCTAACAAATGGCAGTCCAATCTGTTCTTGGAAGTCTCAAGTGATGAAGTTCCCACAACTTCCGAAGGCAACTTCTGTTCCATTGGTTGATTCTTCTCACTGTCAGAAAGTTCCTCCTCATTTCCAGGTTGAATCTCTCCTTGTTCAGTTTCCATCCATTGTTCCCTGTCTGGCCTTCGGGTGCTTTGGAAAATAGCTTGACCCCTTCCTCTCTGTGGCAGCCCTTCAAACATTGGAAGACTGCTATCATGTCTCCCCTGGTCCTTCTTTTCACATACGTTAAGATTTATAGCTCAAACCCACATAGAAGAATCTAGTCACCTAATGTTCAAAGTAAATTGGCGCTAGAGAAGGGAATGGAATTCAAGAGAAGGGAATGGAATTCACTTAAGACCTTTCGTGGGAGCATAGAACATAGAATCATAAGGTTAGAAGAGACTTTGGACGTCTTCTACTCCAACCCCCTTCCTAAGGCAGGAGATCTTGTACCAGTGGTGGGATTCAAAATTTTTTACTATGGTTCTTTGGGCATGGCTTGGTGGGCGTGGCAGGGGAAGGATACTGTAAAATCTCCATTCCCTCCCACCCCAGGGGAAGGTTACTGCAAAATCCCCATTTCCTCCAGATCAGCTGGGACTCGGGAGGCAAAAAATAGATGGGGGCGGGGCCAATCACAAGTGGTATTTACCGGTTCTCCAAACTCAAAATTTCCGCTTCCGGTTCTCCAGAACTGGTCAGAACCTGCTGAATACCACCTCTGTCTTGTACCATCCCGGTTATTCTCTCGGCCAGATCAAAGAGTTTTATAATGGATTACTTTATGCTGCTTTTTACCGTTAAGTATCTCAGTCCAAGCACTTTTAGCTCTATTAATCACAGCGTTGCTTACTAGTTTGTCCCAAATTTTCCATCACAAGTGGCTATGTATCATCAAGAGCCAACTGGCTGACTCGGGGCCAGTCATTCTCAGTCCAGCCTACCTCATAGGATTGTTGTTGTGAGGGAAATAGGAGAGAACAGCCAGTTATATTCACCAATACAGATGACGATGAGGACAACCATGATGATGGTGGTGGTTTATGTTACTATATTTTACTGCCAGGAATCAGAAAAGATAGGTGTTCAGGAGAATTTTTATTACAGTAGTCCAAACTGAAGTCTATATAGCAGGGATAGCGCTTATATAGACTTGGCAGCTAAAGTTGGACTTGGTCAGCACTTGGATAGAAAACTGCTAAGCAACCACAGGACTGTAAATGATATCAAGAAATTGAAAAATTATCCCAGAAAAAAGCAAGGGAAAATCATTTCTATATTTTTGCCAAGAAGCCCACATCCACGAAAGAGTTACCGTATTTTTCGGAGTATAAGATGCACCTTTTTTCCTCCCTAAAAGGGAGTGAAAATTTAGGTGCGTCTTATACACCGAATGTAGCCACGCCCACTCACTGTCCCCCATCCTTTGGCCTCTGCCTCCCAGCAGTTTACCTCCTTGCAGCAAGCAGCAAGAAGAAACAGCTCATTTCAGCTTCAGCACAGCCTAATTAGCACAAGTTGATTGGATCGGCCTCCCGACTCTTAGCTGTTTTTCTCTCAGCTGTTTTGCGCGGGCCTCTGCTGCTTGCTGCAAGGAGGTAAATTGCTGGAGCAGATTTTTTTTTCCTTATGCTAATCAAGCTATGCTGAAAACGAAAATGAAAGTAAAGCAGGCTGTTTGCTGTTTGCTGTAACAAGGCAAAATTGCTGGGAGGCAGAGGCCGATTTCTTTTTCTTCTTTTCCTCACCAAAAAAGGTAGGTGCATCTTATACTCCGAAAAATACGGTAGCTAAGTTTGGCTAAAAGGAGATATTACTTTATTTAGAATAATTTGTCTAGTCCTGGGTACCCTGACTTTGACAGGGCTGATTTTCTACCCCTGGCAGCAAAATGTCTTGATACTAAACAGGGAGAAAGCTGGAGTTCACAATTCTTGTTGAGATGGGCAACTCATCCGACATCTAAGAAAGCTTCCTATTTAGTACTCTGTGTCCAATAAAGAGAAGATTACTGATTCGATTTATAATTGATACAGGTCAACCCTTTTGTTGTATTCTAAAAATTTTAGAATACGCGTGTATTCCAATTTGCACTCATGGATAAATTTTTTTCCTCTGTACAATTGTGTCCGATTCTCAGAGACTGTGTGGACAAGTCCCTGCATTTTTCTTGGCAAGATTTTTAGAAGTAGTTTGCCATTGCCTCTTTCCTAGGGTTGAGACAGAATGACTGGCCCAAGGTCACCCAGCTGGCTTTGTACTTAAGACCAGACTAAAACTCACGTTCTCCCAATTTCCAGCTTGATGCCTTACACCAGCACTGCATAAATTCCTGCCTCGGTGTATTCTCTTTGACTTTGAGATAAAATCTATACCCCTCTAAATCCGGCTGAATATTTCCACATCCCTAGAATAGATCCGCTTACATAGTACTTCTTGCTTGTGAGGTTAACAAATAGAATAATAATGGCTATTGCACAGTGCATCAAGGCTCATGATTCTGACATGAAAGATTTCTTTCCCAAAAAAAAAAAATTGGAAAAGGAGAAATGGAAGGAACCAGGAAAGAGAAACAGGCTGAGGGTGAAAGATCAGGGCATCTGGATTCTGACCTTTCATCAAAATGATCCATAAAATATAGATCTGGTAGTTCTTTGCTGCCTCTGGAGTCTCCGGAATCTGACATCAGTGAGGCAGAAGAACAGCGTGAGCCTGTTCCCAGTGTGCAGATGCGCAGAGCTGCCAGGAGACAGGAACAATTGAAGAAACAGGGTCGACTTGGAACTAAGGCTTGGAGATGATTGGCCCCTCCCATAAGATATAAAAGAGAAGCGAACGGGACATGAGCTTTTGCAGGAAGCAATTAGTTCATCTGGCCGATTCAAGATTTGAAAATTCTGTTTGTGACTCTGTGCCAAGTTTGGCCTTGCCCTGCGCCTGGAAATTAGCTCTTTGGCAGCGTTCCACGTGAGATAGGTGGGTGTTGATAACCTTCCTCTGAAAGACTGTTTATCAAGTCTTGCAGACTGTAAATGAAAGTAATTTACAGCCGTCTGAATTAAAGAGGTTTGCCAGGACTAAGTTTGTGCTGTTTACTTTCTAAGGAAGCCTAGGTCAAAACATCCCTGAACTCCTTGCTTGACTCTTGTTTTGCCAAATACATTTGGGATTGATTGCCGTGCAGCCAGTGGTGAAATCCAAATTTTTTTACTGCTGGTTCTGTGGGTGTGGCTTGGTGGGCGTGGCAGGGGGAGGATACTGCAACATCTCCATTCCCACCCGACTCCAGGGGGAGGATACTGCAAAATCCCCATTCCATCTCCACTCCTGGGGGAAGGATATTGCAAAATCTCCATTCCCACCCCACTCTGGGGCCAGACAGAAGTGGTATTTGCCGTTTCTCCGAACTGCTCAAAATTTCCGCTACCTGTTCTCCAGAACCTGTCAGAACCTGCTGGATTTCACCCCTGCGTGCAGCCTTAGTACAGATAGCACTAGGCTGGACTAATTGCGACCAGAGGCTGCTTGAGGTTTGTGTGGGGATTTGTTCTCACTCTGCTCTGGGACTTGCCAGAAACGTGGGAGCGTTTGGGGAGCTTTGGAACAATAAAGGGGCGGTTTGAACTGCCAGCTGTTTGTGTAATCTCTGTGCCGTGCCCTGGGTCATCACATACAGAAACTACCTGGGTGATTTTATGCCAGTTGTTCTCTCTCATATCAATCCCATCTTATGGTGCTATGTCAGGGGTGGGTTGCTCCCGGTTTGGTCCGGTTCTATAGAACTGGTAGTAAAACCGGTGGGAGGCTCCACCTACCCGCCACGATGTCATCATGGGTGATCTGCGCGCGCTCCCACTGCGAACCAATAGTAAAGGTAAGTGGAACCCACCCCTGTGCTATGTGATGCCTTTAGCTCTAAAATCAAAGAGAGGATATGGATCTACTAAATACAGGTTAATTTAGTGACCGTTTGAAGTTATAATGATGCTGAAAAAAGTTGCTTATGACCGTTTTTTCACACTTACAACCATTGCAGCATCTCCATGGTTAGATAATCAAAATTCATATTTGGCAACTGATTCATATTCATGACTGTTGTAATGTTCCAGGGTCATGTGCTCATTTTTTGCAACCTTCTGACAAGCAAACTCAATGGGGACACCAGACTCGCTTAACAACCAGAGTTACTAACTTAACAACTGCAGTGATTCACTCAACAATTGTGGCAAGCAAGGTCGTAAAATGGGACAAAATTCACATAACAACCAACTCAGTTAACAACAGAAATGTTGGGCTCAATTGTGGTTGTAAATCAAGGACTACCTGTATGGATTTCTCATGACTTCAGAGCAAAAGGAAAAGAAGGGCCATGATTCAAAGGCAGATTTTATTTATTTATTCATTTGTATCCTGTTTTTATTAATTTTATAAATACTCAAGTCGACAAATATATACAATGGATCTTCCTCGTTTTTCCCTCCACAACAACAATCTTGTGAGGTGGGTTGGTTTCAGAAGAAGTGACTGGCCCAAGTCATCCAGCTGGTTTTCATGACTAAATTGGGACATGAACCTATAACCTCCAAGTTTCTAGCATGGTGCCTTAACTACTAGACCAAACTGGTTCTCTAAATAAATAAAATATTACTTTTCTAGTTTTGTTCATTATTGTACATGTTTTTATGTTTTTTTTTCCTATGTTGCTTTTCAAAAAATAAACTTGGGGGGGGGATTCATAAACACACCCCAGCATTTTCAAGGCTAGGATCAATTTAGAATTTCTTGTCCTCTAAGATCTTCTTTTTCCTGTTCCACAATACAGAGGATGAATACCAGGAAATGCCCAACTCTCTCTGGCTGGTCACATGAACAACATTCTCAAAATTATCTTGAGTTAGATAACAGCTTTCCAAGCCGTAGCCTATTAATCAGTTCAGGCAAAATAGCATCGATTCTTTTTTCTTTCTTTCCTTTTTGCACCACAATTTTACCCTCTTCTACTTGATCAGTAAAGTTTACTTTTATCAGATGCATGAAAAAAATTATTCCAGAACAAATGTGTTTGTTCTTAAGGTGCTATCAATCCTCATTATTAGAATATTGTAGCAACATGTGAATAATTTATTGATTTATTGATTGGATTTCTAACGAAATCCATCTTAGAAAATGACTCTGCAGTTAATAATTTTAACGATTTAAACTGTTTCGGCTGCAAGAGCGGTTACAACTCTGCAGTTTCCCATTCTTATAAAGACATTTTCCAAATTTAGCAACGAGAAGCAAAAAGCATATACAATCATGCGCTGCTGTAATTTATGTAAAGATTACTGCTCCTTTCCTTCACAGTTCTTTTTCTCTATTTCCACCATCTTGCTTACAAGCTTGATTGATTCCTATCAGTCTTGTAAGGCAGGGGTCCTCAACCCTCAATCCGCAACCGGTCCATGGCCCGTTAAAAACCAGACCACACAAGTGACTGACAAACACATGAAGGTTTATTTGTGCATGAGTAAAATTAGGTTGCATGTGCCCAACTATCCTTTTCGTCCCACTGCTGCCACTGCCGCTGGTCCACAGAAACAAAAAGGTTGGGGACCAGTGTTGTACAGTACACTTTTTGAAATTCCTTAGTAATATCATTCCATGCCAGTTTTAGCAATGTAATGGAGGGAGCGGCTGGGAAAGAGTTATCTTCTTCCCCAAATATTCTCAGCAAGTGCAAAACATTTTATGATCTCTAAATCTTGTCCAGGGGTGAAATCTACTTACCTCCTCTACCGGTTCGGAAATGCACGCATCATGTGAGCGCACCGACCCTCTGGACATGCGCAGAGGGTAAAAAACAGGTTACTTCCTGGTTAAAACCAGGTAGTTAATGACGACCTGACGAGTGCGCGGAGCCTCAAGCTACCATCGCTACCAGTTCTCCAAACCACCGACCGTCTTCTCTACCGGTTCGACTGAACCGGGCCAAACCGGGAGCATTTCACCCCTGGTCTTGTCTGCTTTAAAAAAAACCAAATATGGAGAAGATCCTGTGCATTCATACAAGATTTTGCCAATTTGAAAACTACTTTTTACATAGTTTTTTTATTCATTTATAATATGGCAAACAAAGAGAATACAAAAGTAAATATTAGGGAAATTGGGGGGAAAAGGGAAGTGGATAGTGGGGGGGAGGAAGCAAGGGAAAAAGAAAAAAAAGGCATTGACTTCTGACTCCTTTGGTGCAGTAAAATAAGGCATTAAGATCTATCCTTAACTTTTTACTTTTTCATAATAACAGAAACTAGCCATTTCTGCAACAACAAATCTGTCTAATCAGTAAAACCCAAAATCAAAATTTCATTTTTTTTCCCACCTCAAGCACAAAGTCCAGAAGTGGTTTCCAAGTACAAATAAAGGCATTTGTGTTTTTTTCTTCAATCAAAACAGTGGCAATTTGAAAAGTTGATGTGCGGTACTGATTAAAAAAATCCAAACTATGAATGAGAAAGGTCTAGCATGTCTCATCAGCACTTTGGGTAAACCCTCCTTGACTTACAACCATTTGTGTAGTGGCTGTTCGAATTTACAACAGCACTGAAAAAAGTGACTTACAACCGTTGCAGTGTCCACATAATCATATGATCAAATTTCAAATTCAGGTGTGACTCATTTATCATTGCTTTGCTTAGCAACAGATATTCTGGTCCCAGTTTTGGTCATAAGTCAAGGACTACATACAACAGCAAACTGCCTTATATGGTGGTAGTCAGATAATGCGTGTCACATGTTTTGAACAGCTGACCCCCATGAGAAATGTTCAGCTCCTGGAATTTATATATTTATTTAGTGTATGGCATTTAGCTCCTGGTAAGCTGCATATTTGCAAGCATGCCATTGAGCCAGCCAGCTAAAAAATTATTTATGCAATCCTTAAAATATAATTGCTCAGATCTTTAAGTATTCCATTTTCTCCTCATGGAGCAGAGCAGAAATGGCGGCATTATTTATTTTGGCTCACACGGAAGTGTCGGAGAAATGGGATTTTTTTCTTCCTCTCAACAGAAGCAACCAAACAAGCCATTGGCTATGTTATAGCATATAATATGCGAGATGGATGGTTTTATACATTACTATAACTAAATCTATTATATAGCCTCTAATATATGAAATGGCTGTCTCTAGAAATTCAATCAATCAATAACGTTACAAGCTGTGAGATGGGCAGCTCCATAATAAATTTAAAAAATCAACATATTACAGCATATAGTCTGTGAAATGGGATGGGCTAGATACATTTAATAAATAAATAACTACTTGTCTGGAATGGTACAGTCTCCTGCCTGAGCAGGGGGTTGGATTAGAAGTTTTCATCCCCAAACCCCCAACATTTTAACTTTAGACTGTCTACTGTTGACCTCACCCCATTCCTAAGAGGTCTGTAAGGGGCGTGCATAAGCGCACCAGCGTGCCTACTGTCCCTGTCCTAATATTCCTTTTTACTTACTCTTTTCATGTATTTAAATTATGTTTATACTTTTTACCTGTAATCTTATACATGCTTGACAAATAAATAAACTTAAACTCTTGTTATTTTGTTATATTTACCTCACAAGATATAACATCTGAGGTGGGCGGCTATCTAAATTAAATAAATACTGGTATATATGTAAGCAAACAAGCTTTTGTGCATCAGTGCTCTATTTTTTTTTAAAGAATGAGTCATCAAGGAATTTGTATGTGTATATGTGTAGATAGATAGATGGATGGATGGATGGATGATGGAGATGGATGGATAGAGACAGATAGATAGATAACTACAGATAAAGATAGATAGATAGATAGATAGATAGATAGATAGATAGATAGATAGATAGATAGATAGATAGATAGATTCTTTACAATACACGGAATTCTTACTTAAAATCAATGTGTTGCTTATAACTAGCATTTGATGTGGTTCAGCCTCCGTATAAATTCTTTCCACAAATAAGTAAAATTTGCCATTCTCTTTTTCAGATAGATGTAGATGATAGATAGATAGATAGATGGATAGGCGATAGATAGATAGATAGAGACAGATAAAGATAGATAGATAGATAGATAGATAGATAGATAGATAGATAGATAGATAGATAGATAGATAGATAGATAGATAGAGGTGATAAATACATATACTACAAGATCTCTCTCTCTCTCTCTCTCTCTCTCTAAATGTTGATCGGTTGATGGTAAGATAGGGTGAAGGGAATCAAACCCGACCCACCCACCCCCCCGCCCGTCCGTCCCCGGCGTGTCGCGCGCAGCCCGGCAGCTCCTCAAGAGCAAGAAGAAGCGGGGAGGCGGTCGGTCGGTCGGTCGGTCGGCCCCGCGGCCAAGCCCTCAAGGCGGCGCGCTCCCGACGAGCATCCCGCTGCAGCCTCCGGCGCTGGCCTTCTCCCGCGGCGTTCTGGAGATGCGGCGGTGGGCAGCCGCCTCCCGAAGGCTTGGAGGAGGGACCGTCGGGCGCGTCGCAGCCTCCCGTCCCTCCTGCGCGCTGCACTGTGGGCGAAAGATGGCAGCTTCCTCGGCCCCTCTCGGCTCCCCGACGCTGTGACAGGGCGGGCGCCCTTGCTTCCTTTTGGCCCCTTTTGGCCCCTCCGAAGCCGCCGAGATGGAGAAGTGCTCCAGCTGCGAGAGCCTCGCCTCCAAGCCGGCGCCGCCGGCTACCCGCCAGCCCAGCTCGGATTCCCTCTCCAGGTACCGCATCTCTCCTTGAAGCCTCTGCTGCCGGGGCAAAGAGCGGAGGAAGGGGGCGCGGATGGAGAGAAGCAGGGATTATGCTATTAGACCTAGATTCGTGGTTTGATGATGGGAAAGGAGGGGGGGAAGGCTTGGCGGAGGGTCTGATCCGGGTTTTATTGGAGGCCCTGATATACTGGAAAGGCTGGATGCTCTCCCAGCCGCATGGAAGAAACTGATGGGGAAGGCACAAAGGTTGGGTGATGCTTCTTTTGCAACGTGTTCTAGGCTGCAGTCTTGCTGGTGCAGGTAGTCCTCGATTTATGGCCATAATGTCGCTGAGGGGAAAATGGCTTAAGGGAGTTTTGCCCCAATTTAGCCACTTTTCCTGGTCACGTTGGTTAAGTCAATCACTGGTTGAAATTAGTTAATGCAGGTTGTTAAGTGAATCTGGCTTCCCCACTGACTTTGCTTGTCGGAAGGTCACAAAAGGGGATCAACATCAGAGGTGGGTTTCAGCAGGTTCTGACCAGTTCTGGAGAACCGGGAGCGGAACTTCTGAGTAGTTTGGAGAACCGGTAGTAAAAATTCTGACCGGCCCCACCCCCCATCTATTCTCTACCTCCCAAGTCCCAGCTGATCGGGAGGAAATTGGGATATTGCAGTAACCTTCCCCTGGTTGGGGAGGGAATGGAGATTTTATAGTATCCTTCCCCTGGAGTGGGGTGGGAATGGAGATTTTACAGTATCCTTCCCCTGGAGTGGGGTGGGAATGGAGATTTTACAGTATCCTTCCCCTGCCACGCCCACCAAGCCACACCCACAGAACCGGTAGTAAAAAAAATTGAAACCCACCACTGATCAATCTCTCTCTCTCTCTCTCTCTCTCTCTCTCTCTCTCTCTCTCTCTCTTTCTCACACACACACACACACACACACACACACACACACAGGACATTCATCAATATGAACCAAATGTCAATAATCCCTATGACTATGGGGATACTGCAACCTTCATGTGAAAAATGGTCGTAAGTCACTTTTTTCAGTGCCGCTGTAACTTTGAGCGGTCACTAAATGAACCGTTGAAAGTCGAGGACTACCTGTATTCCAGTTTGAAAGGCAAGGACAATCTCAGGGTTAGGATTTCTTGCAGCCGGATCTTCTGGATGTTTGCATCTTAGTGGGTTTAAGCAGCATTATTCCAGAGGGCTTTGGTGGGTATGCTTTGCACACTTACTTGGGAGCAGCCGACGTTATTTATTTCTGAACAGCTTTCACTGACTTGACCATTAATTTTAGCTGTAGCCCATTGGCCAAGGAAGGTATAAAATCCACTAAAAGGGATTGAATTTAACCTGTAGCTTCACTGCCCCAAAGGTGCTTTTTCGGAAAGGCAACTGGACTTTTTTCCTTGAAGACGTTTTGCTTCTCATCAAGGAAGCTTCTTCAGTTCTTCAGTTTCACTTCTTGGATGAGAAGCGAAACATCTTCAAGGAAAAACAACAACCATGACCTGGATTGCCGAGAATCTCATAGCCGGTAGCTTCACCGTTATAAAAGAGGTTGCAAGATTGGCACGCTTTCCAAAATGTGTGTTCCCCAGATGCATTGCTGGGTATTGTGGGAGCAACACATCTACAAGGGAGTATGTTGGTAAAACATTCTTGTCTTGGTTGCTAAATTTATTTTCTGTCTTCTCTCACTGTTGGAAGAAATGTCCATCTGGGTTCAGTTCCAAGTGGGGAGAAAGACACTGGAAACATGGAGACTGCTTAGAAAGATGGTTTTTAATGGTGGACAGGACCACATGGTTTGAACTCCTGGGCAAAAAGAACACATGGGTGAGAGAGAGAGAGAGAAAAAAATATACCCTCTCTTGGGGTAAGCCTTGGCGCTTCCTGTTCCTGTGTAAGGAATGTACTCTGATTGGTTGTCAGACTCCCAGGCCTGGTTGAATCTTGCTAGGTGATAATGTAATGAAGGGGCTTTGGGCAATTCCTATTATGGCTTAATGGCTTTGTCCTGGTTTGGATCTTGAGACATGAGGACCATGTCTTTTATGTTGTAGATAAGCTGGCCCAGCCTTTGTCTTGTAGATAGGTTGGCACCAAAATATCTGCTGGGGGTGGGGGGGTGGGGGCAGGGAGCTGAGGCTCTGAGTTTGTCTTTAGAAACATATTTCTCCTTTAGGGAAAATATAATATTCTGCCTTTTTAATATTTCCTAGAATGTTTCATTTTCCTGGGAGAGGGGTGGGTGCTAGCTTCCTACATCACGATTCACCAAACATTCTTGTCACCAAATGGTTGGGGGTTATAGCACTCACTAAGTCACAAAAAATAAGGGAGATTAACTCTAACCGAAATCAGTAAGGTGTGTGAATGCATCTGCTTTACAGGTGCATTCTGTAATGCCTACAACTCGACGTCTGTTGCTAAGCAAAATGGTAGCTAAGTGAACTATACCCTGTTTTAGAACCTTCTTTCTCACAGTTGTCAAGTGAATCGTGTAGTTGTTAAATGAATCCAACTTTTCCCATTGTTTTTGGAAGCTGGCTGGGAAAGTTGCAAATGGTGATCAAATGACCCCAGGATTCTGCAACCTTCATAAAATTTATGCAAGTTGCCAAGTGCCCGAATTGTGATCACATGATCATGGGGATGCGGCAATGGTCATAACTCCAAGGTCCACTCGTAAGTTACTTTTTTCAATGCCATTGTAACTTTGAGCGGTCACTAAACTCAAGGACTATCTGTACTAGATGTGATGAAGTGCATTGTGTGAATGCAGCCCAGGAGTTAAATGAGGATCATGACTTTACAAGTGAGTCCTACCACAAAATATTGTACATGGAAAGCTTTTAGTTTGGATATCAGATAGCCATGGCTATTTCCTAGGGTGGATTTACAGGGTGGATAAAAATCAATGATTTTTTTTTTAAATCAAAAAAATCAGATTTTTTTGATTTAAATTGGATATTTTTTATTATCAAATTTAAATTTTAATAAAATGCTTTTGAAGTAAAAATCTATCTAAAGATACTCTTCTAATTAAGATACATTAATAATTTAGTTTATTGAGCATGAAACGGAGCTTAGTTATGTAGCATGAGGCTGTATATTCTGTAATATTGGGACTGTCGGCGAATCAACAGCAGGTCAGAGGAGGAGCCACTGCGGGACAGAGATGACAGTTGTTCTTTAAAAATTATGATTTAAATCGAGTTGATTTAAATCAAGCCTTTTTACTAGTGATTTAAATCATGATTTAAATCGTGATTTAAATTGACTTGATTTAAATCAAATCCACCCTGATACTGTATTCAATTCATTGCTATCCCATATCATAACAACTTGAAAACAGTCAGTAGAACTCATGGATCATGAGTTTATTACAGAGTGGGGGTGGCAAAAAAACCCAGTAAATTATTTCAGTATTCTAGAAATCAATCAAGGCCAAGAATTCCCCAAGATGTATTTGGAAAATATGGATTGTTGAGTCTATCACCAAGTGCACTTTTTCTTGAAAGTTTATTACATGATGCTCAGTAGTGGTACCCACTATGCCTAGAATTGATGCCACAAATTGGAACCAGGGAATTCTGAATGTATCTGAGTAAACCGGAAAGTTTTCTTGAATGAATCTCAACTCCTACTGACTTTGTAGACATATCCATATGGTCCCGACTGCAACATGGAGGTGGTTTATCGCTGTTACCTTGAGAGTTTTCTCAACTTCCCAATCTACTATATATTCCTGGGAATTCTTGTGGTTCCCATCCAAATGCTATTCAGGTCCAGCCCTGCTTAGATTTTTCTGAGATTATTCAAGGCTGCTGGGGGTTACCATTTGCTGTGTGCAGTCATAGATAGATATGGTAGGTAGGTAGGTAGGTAGGTAGGTTGACAGATAGACATAGATAGACAGCCAGATGATAGCTAGAATGTTAGCTAGCTAGCTACAGTAGCTAACTACCGATAGCTGGATGACTGGCGGGATGGATGGATGGGCAGAGACAGATAAATAGACAGATAGACAGACAGACAGACAGACCACAGAATATTTTATCCCCAACTTTTGGTGATATCAAACAGTATTAAAGTGCGGAGCCTTGGTGGCGCAGCAGACTAAAGAGCTGTTAAGTAGCACCAGCTACCTGCAGTTACTGCAAGTTCAAATCTCACCAGGCTCAAGGTTGACTCAGCCTTCCATCCTTTCGAAGTAGGTAAAATAAGGACCTCGATTGTGGGGGCATTAAGCTGACTTTGTATAAAAAAGACCACCGCTTAGCGGAGGCCGAAAGCCCTACTAAGCAGGTATATACAAAAGTATGAAGGCTATTGCTTAATGCATTGTAAGCCGCCCTGAGTCTCCGGAGAAGGGCGGCATATAAATCGAACCAATAAATAAATAAATAAATAAATAAATACATACATACATACATACATACATACATACATACATACATACATACATACATAATAAACAAACATCTGATTGATTGAGAAGTAAAAAAAAAAAAAAACCATCCCAGAAATGATGAAGGCATCAACTTCAGAATTGTTGCTTAGAAGAGCACTTATTTCGAAGGAAGTAAAATCTGATGTAAGTGATTTGTGTTTGGAGTGTGGAATGGATTTTTTTTAAAAAATTAATTTGATGGGTGGGCCCTCTAACAGCACTTTTGTGCAGTAAACAACTTGCTGGAGGCAGCAGCCCTGTGGCCCACTTTTGTATATGGTAAGAAGATGGGAATCTAGACTTAGTAAAGGAAAGACGTGGCTTTGACCCATTTCTAGTACAAAACATCTTGCATAAGTATATCCGAATGGAAAAGTCATTTTCTGGAGAAGGTGAATGGCTGCCAATCATTGGTTAAATGTTCTGGTCTTGTTCGGTACTCTGTTCTGTTCCATAGTGCCATTTACATTTACTGTAACATAGCAATAGCTCTTAGACTTATATACTGCTTTACAGTGCTTTACAGCCCCCTATAAGCGATTTACAGAGTCAGC